TCAGATAGTGTCATCACTATGTCAACCACCAGGCGCATGGATTCCATCGCTAATTAGCAGGCTGGTAGAGACGGCTGGTGAAACTCATGAAGATACCCAAGCCTATGTGACTGATCTGCTTCTGTGTCTTCTGAGCAGTGCACCGCATTTGAACCCGGTACGCAGAACTTTCAGAACTGAGCCATAAGGCTGATGTAGCTCTTTTTGCAGCTCCTCGAACCACCACTTCTTCCATCGGCGTCACCAACTCATGCACGATCAACCTCGTATACACCAGCCCTGCTACGACAGTCCGTTCTCAGCCAGCGACTGCATCAAGAGAGGAAAGGTGAGAAATCACATCGTCACCGTTAACGAAAATTTCGGCACTGTTACGCTTTACTGCCCTGATCCAAAATTAGGCCAGTTTTTGAATGACTTTTTTCTCCATGTGCAGAATTGGCTAAAAAATTTGTCCCCTAAGGTAGTTTGTTGGCTAAATTTGTCTCCCAAGGTAGTTTGATCTCCTGAACAAGAGTATTACATCCGCCCAAAACCTCTCGGCGCCCGCGCCACAAGCGCTAGCGCCAAATTACCCTGAATCACCACATTCGCTGTTGTTCCCAGAGGTAGTTTGATCCAAATTTCCAACCCGCTGAAAACTTGTTCCCGGGGGTAGTTTGACCTCCTGAACACGAATATCACATCGGTATTACTTTTCCTCCGAGATAGTGGTCCCTTCTACTAAGGCTGCCAGGTTGAGTGCTCTTTCCTTCACTGTTTCCCTAACTCCCTAGCACACCTCTCCGCGCAAAAGCGAACTACTCCAACTGAGATTTTGGTGAATTCTGGCATTTTAGCGCTCAGGTGGGACTGGCGTCAAGAGTTTGAGGGGTGAGGGTGTGCAAACTACATACTCCCGTTGACCAAATTTTCAGCGATTCTGGTGTTGTGGCTTCCAGTATTTTGGCGACGATGCCTAAGGCGCTGGCGTCAGAATATCTGGGGTTAAATGGGTGCGATATTTGTATTTACGAGGTCAGAGTACCCCAGGAGAAAACATTTGGGTCAAGTTTGTCCATGGATGAAAAATTCGGTCAAAAAAGGGCTCGATTACGGATGATTGGGCGGTAAAGGGTAACTAGTGCCAAAATTCCATTGTTCATGCCCATCAGATGTGCGTTTGTCGCTGCTCCTGTCCGACGAAGAGGGCAGGTTAGGAGCTGCTCTGATGAGAAGCAAGAGTGCCGATCAGCTGAAGAGTGACGCAGAAGGAGATGAGGTGATTTTAGGTTTTTTTGGCAACTCTCTCACCAAATATTGTAATTGAACGACAGGATTTTCAGGAGGCTACCGCTAGAATGCAGATTTGTGCCATCGCAGTTGCGTTGCTGGAAAGCGGTGTAGACAATGAGTTCCTGCTCTCAATAAATCTCCTTGAAAAGGTATGGTATTGATGATTTGGGGTTGCCAGATAGTAGACGGTCCCTGGTTTAACGATCATTAAACGAGGCCATACGTATGGATGCGGTGGCGATGGTGGTCGGGTAGCCGAGCGGCTTGTCATTGCACCGGGTGCATGGTTATGATTTACGAGCGTGCGCGCTGCCGCATATCCGCTTTTGAAGGGACATGAGCGAGCAGTGGTGACTGCGAGTAAATTGGGGATCGTTGCGGCGCCGCCGTCCGTGTCGGAGGTGCAAGTCATTGTGCACACATCTCAGTCTGTCATCAGGAAGGTCGCACGACGGATACGATTAATTGTCAAAACACCAGCCACTTATCTGCACTTTTTGGGGGTTAGCCGAATGAACTCTGACATGGAAACGGATCGCTACACAAAATCGGAATATGAGTCCTTTGCGAGCCATGTGCGTGGATACGCCGCGCATCAGTCTTGCAGTCGGCATTACCGGGTATATATGATGATCTTCGAGGTAAACTAGTGGCCAAGTCTTTCTACTCAGTCATTTATAACCAGAACACGTCCTACATCGGAGAATCTCAGCGGGAGTTGTCGTCTTCGGTCAGGAGAGAGAGGGGGAGTACTTGGTCTGCCAGAAAAATTTTTTTGATAATTGATTTTTTCCCTGTTTCAAAGGCGCTGTCCCCATTTTGTTGAGAGAAATCGGATGAGGGGAGGGAGGGGTCGTATGCGCACTTCGTTGAGAGCGGAGGTTACGTATTCGCTTCGAAAGAAATACGCCGCGTTGTCTGGCTGGGTTGACTTTTCGCGTTTTTTCCTGTTTCTCTGGTGCTACATACCCCGCTGGACGACAAAATTTCTGGGGAAAACTGAAAAAAATGTGGGGAAATTTTGGTAACGGTGGTAGGAAGCTTCGAAAAGTTGTAAGATGAGGGGGGGGTCGTATTTTCCACAGCGGCATCCCTGTTTACAAATAACTATTGCTCTCATGTAGGAGCGGCAGTTATCGCTTGAACGGCGGAAACCGTCAGTCTCTGAAGACCAGGATTCAGTGAGGAATCGTTTAGAATTGTCAAGTTGACCTGCAACCAAACGACTAAGCAGCTAAAACAAGTTCAGAAAATCCGTGTTAATTTTTTTTCCATCATGAAAAGGTGGCCGTATACGCAACGATGTCGTGATATGTGTTTGAAACCATCTGTCGTTTTTCTCCGATGAAGATCTTCTAAGGAGATCCACCGGCCGCGTACCCCAAGGTAGCGCCCTTTGTTAAGGAATGATTTTTTTTTGAGTTAACGTCTCTGTTACTGCTGAATCACGACATCCCCTCTCACAACTGAAAACGGCGTTTAGTGCGGCCTCTATACTGGACATTGAGGCAGGAACGAGTAGAGAATGTGGAGAAGTTATAAGAAAGCATGGTGCATGGTCAGCGAATATGTATGACTGCTTGTGAAGAACAAGTTCCTTCACAGAAGCTGAACCTGTGGTGACTTGTAAACATCCCTTTGATCTGATCAAGAAAAGGTCGCGATTTCCGAATAACTGGAAGAACTTCAAGAAGAAAGTACTGCCCATTTTTGGATTTCAATTCGTTCGACCTCAAGTTTAGGCAAATCTTTGTGGCAAGCAAGAAGGCGGTTGTTGTTTAGGAATTTGTATCAGTAGAATGGTGCACTGAGCAGAAGGAGCAGCTGACAACCTGTGTGGCTTGTTGAGTGCACGGTCATCGGAGCGCAGACCTTAGTCCTCTCAGTTATTATAAATTCCTTGGCGAGCATAAAAAGAAGTTTGCGGCATGGTTCAGGCAAAGTAGGTGTTTAGTTATTAGGTTGTTTCAATGTGTTAGGTGTATGAGGCTGCTGCTTTGATTACTTGCGACTTTCCTCGCTCACAGAAGAGCGGAAACTGGGCTGCAGAGTGGAGATACTTGGTATCGGGCGCATACTCTGCTTGCGCTATTTGGTACCGGCTCTATACTCCGCCCGCGCTACCTCCAGCGTGCAGCATCTGCGCGGATACCTGTGGCGAAATACATACTCAGCGGTAGAGAACAATCACAAGCGGAAGATCGCAAAAGTAGCGCGTTCGGTTACAATTAGGCGTGTGGCTGGCTGCGAGGCAGAGTATGGGTCGTCACCGGGGTATCATAACCCTTCAGCCTCGTTCCCGTGCAGTCTTGAGCGGAGAAAGTGGCATGCGTCTGCAGCCCATTCACCTCTCACTCGGCAAGGAACAAGGTCCACGGAGTTGAGTGAGAAGTTTATCTTCAACGCAAACATCCATTCAAATGCCACAGCCATTCGTAAATAGAACTCGAATTCGTGGCGCATACGGTGGAAGACTGATCCAAGCGATTTATTTTGTTCTTTAATGTGCATGCTCTTACGGATGGATGAAGTGGCGAGTGAAAAGGCGACCCCGCATCGTAGTCCAGATCGGCTCCCATCAAGACGTTCAACTCTAGGGCCGGTAATTGGTACCAGTCTCGTCTGTGAAGTTGAAGCTCTGACCTGAACATCAACAGGCCCTTGCAAGTCATAGAATTCATGCCATATCCCAAAAAGGAATTGACCTCAAGCCTAAACCAAGACCTTTTTCCTTTTCAATGTGTTCTCATGTAAGCGGGATATTTCAGATTCTGGACACATCTGGACCTCATAAGACGCGATGTTTGCAAAAGCTGGAGAAAACAATTACCCAGCTAGATTGGAAGGGATTCAGTAACATCGTTGGTCTTCTTTCCAGAGGTGAGCTTTTCTTGACCGGCCGTATTCTTGTGGCTTCTCATGACTTCAACAGATTTCATGGTAAGGTGGTGACGTGTTTGTTGCTCACCTTGACGCCATTCATTACTGCGGTGGAACTTGCCACACGAGGCGTTTGTCCAGCTGTAAATTCTGGCTCGCTGACAAGTTGCTTTGATTTATTAAGTTGAGTAAAAGATTGTGACTCGATTAGATGTCGTTGTATAGATTACGCGCCGGGAGATTGATTGAATGTCGACTTACAACGCAAATTATGTGATACTGCTTTCCACCTGGGGGTTCATCACCTTTACAGCGAGACTTTTCCCAATACTATTTACTGCTGACAAATAGGAGCTTCCATATAAAGAAATCTTGTTATAGTAAGCGGGTTTTGCCGCTTTTTTTTGTATGCTGATCCCCACTTGGGCGTTCGTGTTTCGTGACATGTCTCGTGTATGTGCTTGGCTGTCGGTTTGATTACATCTACAACACTTCAATTAGATTATCGTGGTGATGTTTTGTTCATGGCCTTCATCGTCGAATTTTATGGTTCGTTTGGCAGACAACATTACCTTCAGTCACTAATGTGCTGTTCGGTTTTCTCTGAGAGACACCAGTTGTTCGTGAAACCTGAAAAATTGCTCAGAATTTTTTTTGGTCCTGGGAGTCACTGAAACTCGAGTGACAGCTGTTGTTTTTCTGATTTCCAGGAGTTCGAGCACTATAGATTTTTCTGGGATAAGCCACCCATAATTTACCTAGGCTTCTGAGGTTTTGGTTGTGAATAAACCGACGTTGAAAAGAAAATCATGTCTGGAATCTTGATATCTTCTGACGTCATTCTGCCATAACGTGAAAAATTCGTGCCCTCAGGACAGTGCATCTCGTAA